TTATCTGCAATCTAGATGTTTATAAATCATTTCAGTCGTTGATATAATAATTAAAGGTCGACTGAACATGAATTATATTATACAATTTAAAGCGCATTTCTGTTTATGCACGCGAACCCGTCTAACGTTATTGTTATTTCGCAGTTATATAAAGTAGCAAATTATCGTTCCTGAATAGGTGGCGCCGTGGTAGCCGATTTTTAATTAACGATGCCAAGTACTTGTTGTTGTGTATGTGATAGGGTCATTTATATATTGAAATTATTTATTTGCAATGTACATATATTTTATTATTTATTATTTTCCATGTCCAGATAATTGTAGTTTAAAATATATGTAGTATTGATTTATTACGAAAGTATGGACATAAACAGTAGATTAATACAGGTGATCAATACTTTATATACATGTTTTTACTATTGTGATGTCATATCGACTGTTTAGTTGTGATGTAAGTCTTGTGATGTCATTTCGTATATCTGTGTGATGTAGATTTGGTACAGGAGTTTCATTGGACGATTATGTCACAAGGGATTAATTCTATTTTCTGATTGGTTAGATTTGACCGAGGGAAATTACAAAATTTTGATATTGTTTGAGAGAAAGCACTGGATCATTTTGTCTTGTGTAACTTTCGGAAATTTATTATATTTCTGTGATTATTTATTAGGAAATGTTCCTGTTGTCTCTAAGAATAAAGGTATTTATATTTGTATTAATAAATACACTTGGTGTTCAAAAGATTATAAAATTATACAATCAGATGTCCTGTACCATAGTCATGAAATTGTTAATAGCATTACTTCATTTTAATATTTGTATCTCATTATTTTAGTATAATGTATTGAGTGATTAAATGTTAAATAGCAAACTCTATGAAGTTTCCATACTCAATAATTGACAGTTGTATAAAGTCCCCTTTTTATGTTACTTTTGTAATTTATAGTAACTGGTATTATATTTGTTTTGAATATAAAATAACTATACATCTAAGACATAGTGTGTATTATTTTATTGTCTTATTACGAAGGGTAGTGAGAATTTGTTCAATTATGTATTTTTCAGATTTAAATGTTGACAGTTGAATTATTGTTACCAGTACCACTGTGTCTAAACTACCCCGGCAAAAAATGTTTGGACTCGATAGTATCTAATGTCCGGTACGGTGACGGACAATCAACAGACAGACAAAAGGAAGAATTTTTGTTTATTTATTTGTTTTTTAATGACATTGAAGAATATACATACACATATAACTATTTTCGATTGTGTGATGTAATATTTTCTACAACCGTTCTAGATTAATGGAGAAATAAGTTAAAAGGCACACGAAAATTGTGAATTGAGTGAACCTTGCTACGAATTTGTTTAATTTCTCTTTAAATTGTGCACATTGTACGGAAAGAAAAGTACGGAAAGAAAGATATTAACACAGAGATTGCATGGCTAGTCACTATGAGCACCTCAATATTTGCATTTCTGTGCATGGAACGAAAGAAATGGGTCATGTCAAAATGGAAGGACCCTGTTTCGTCAATGTTGTTTATTACACAAGGACCCTGTTTTGTCTCAGTATAGGACCCGGTTTTGTTTTGTTTTGAAACCACAAATTTATGAAAAGCTACGTTAGCACGGATCTGGACATTGCCCATCGGAAGAAATTAAATATTTGAGTCAAAAAGATGTTATAAAGATGTTATTGCAATACAAACATGTGTTAAAATATATTTCAAACGGGAACTTTTTGAAATAGGGAGTAGACATTTTTGAATGCTATACGTATACCTTATTGATCTGATCTTCGAACTAAGTTTAAATGGAAATAAATACTTTATATCATGTACTTACATTAATTCCTTATGATAGAAAAAAGAAGATCTGGTGTGATTGCCAATGAGACAGCTCGTCACAAGAGATCAAATGACACAGAAATTAACAACTATAGGTCGCCGTACGGCCTTCAACAATGAACAAAGCTCATACAACATAGTCAGCAATAAAGGCCCAGAAATGACAAGTGTAAAACAATTCAAACGAGGAAACTAACGGCCTAATTTATGTACAAAAAAATGAACCGAAAAACAAATATGTAACACAGCAACAAACGACAACCACTGAAATACAGGCTCCTGGCTTGGGACAGGTAAATATATACAGAATGGGGCGGGGTTAAACATCTTAGCGGGATCCCAACCCTCCCCCTAACCTAGGAAATTGGTGTAACAGTACAACATAAGAACGAACTATAAAAATCAGTTGAAAAAGGCTTAAGTCATCAGATGGATACAAATAGAAATACATCTCAAAAATGTTTGTTTGTTTTCTATACTACTGTAATGATGTAAAAATAAGAAGATGTGGAATGATTGTGTTACCATATTAATTTATCAAAAGAGTAAGGATAGTATGCTTTACTACACTATACGCTATGTTTACAATATATTTACTCATTCGTTCATCCATTGACGGACAGTGAGAGAAAAAGCTCCGTTTTGAAGGCCGTACTTTGACCTATAATGGTTTACTTTTACAAATTGTGACTTGGATGGAGAGTTGTCTCATTGGCACTCATACCACATCTTCTTATATCTATTAGAACGTTTTGGATATCTCAATCAAAATGGTTGCCTTTCGAACGTGTATTTTATGCCCGCTTCGAAATACACAAGTTCTAAACTTCCCCATTAGAAACAAAATAATTCTATCATGCCATGCTCTACGCTCATGTTAACATAGGTAGGCATTATATTTGTCAATATTTTATACCTGGCTAACGCTTGGTTTAAAAATTTTAACAAATATAATGCCTTCCTATGTTAAAATGAGTATTGAGCATGGCATGAAAGAATTATTTCTTTTTATAAATAAAAGTTGGTTTGCAACATTATAACGTCCAATATCTTCGTCTTCGTCTTCGTAGAACAACCTAATAGGCAATTTAGCCCGTGAAAAATGACAATGAGACAGCTTTCCATTAGAGACCAAATGACGTATAAGTTAACAAATATAGAACATCGTATGGCATCCAACAATGAGAAACGTCCATACGGCATAGCAAGCTAAAAAAGGCCCCGAAATGAAAACTGTAAAAAAAAACGAATGTGGAAACTAACGACCTAGATTTATGTACAAAATAAAAAAACGAAAAACAAATACATGTATGATATATAGCAACAAAAGACAACAACCGATTTACAGGCTCCTGAATTCGGTACTGGTACATACAGAATGGCGAGGTTGAACGTGTAAGCCCCCCCCCCCCCCCCCCACGCTCCCCCTCCAAAAAAAAAAAGTGGTATAACAGCACAACATATGAACAAACTATAAAATTCAGTGAGTTCAAAAGGGCTTAACTCATTTGATTACAGAGCCCCTATAGTAAATATGGGATTGTCGGCTGTTTCTGTTTTTTCGTCTTTTATTAAATTTTATGATGGTATACGATATAGTTACATTATATCAGTGGCGGATCCAGGGGAGTAGAGGGAATACGCCGACCCCCCCCTTTTTGGTGGCTAGAAATAATTATTTTATCATGTTTTTTACGATTTATGTATGATTTTTTATTTAGCATAAAATCGTTAAAAAAAGTTCCCCTTGCTACGCTCGGCGGTATAAAATCCGTTTATGAATACATCCCTTTCAAAAATCGTGGCCTCGGTCCGCCCTTGCATATTGACAATTTTAAACTTGACCAAATTGCTTAAATTGTAGAACATTTGTCAATGTACGATAATCATTATACAATGAAGAGATAAACCTATATATAATAGTTGTACTATATAGGGCAGTTGTTAACAACTTGATACTAGTGCATTAAAGAATTTGTTAATGTTAAAAAAAAAAAAAAAAAAAAAAAAAAAAAAGAGAGATAAAACATCGTTTATTTATATAAATTACTAATCAAATAATCATTATTGCAATTTCCGGATGGCCTAAGACTTTTATACTAATTGATACTTAGTATTCTTATAACAAGGAGGGGTAAACAGATTTTTAACGCACTATTATTGTGATCCTTTGCGCCGCATGGAAATTCCTTTTCTTGGGCGATTCTGCATGCACATACATTTGTCTTATTCTCTTGCTATATAATGAACGTTTAGTTTCAGAATATTTATTTTCAAACGATTATACTGTCTTCCCTTTAAGTAGAGCGGAACACTAAGATAACCATCTTATTGTCCCAAAAAATCACATATCAAATGTGCGTCCTTAAATTTTCAAGGCCGTACACTAATTAAGTTTGAACACTTAAATTTACATAGATGATATAAAAAAATCTAATTCCGTTTCAAAACCTTCATTTCTTTTTAATTTTTCCTTTTTTTATATACAAAACAAAATTGAAATTTGCTTTGTTCTAATATAGCAGGAATTCAAGTGTTTACGGATTCAAAAAGGTTATAAGTTATCCTCTGAAAGAAAATGTTTTTCAACGCCCCTCAAACTGCTGTTGAACGCCATATTTTAATTTTCGTCATGCGATTATGCATTATTTTCTATGACAAAACCGGGTCTGCTTTGTGAAATTTAAGGACAAAACCGGGTCGTACACATTGACAAAACCGGGTGCTTCAATTTTGACATGACCCACTTCTTTCATTCCATGCACAGACATGCAAATATTGAGGCGATCATAGTGAAAAGTCTTGAAATCTCCGTGTTAATATCTTTCTTTCCGTACCTTTCTTTCCGTACAATGTGCTCAATTTAAAGAGAAATTAAACAAATTCGAGGCAGGGTTCACTCAATTCACCATTTTGATGTGCATTTTTACTTATTTCTCCATAAATCTAGAACGGTGGTAGAAAATATTACATCACACTATCGAAAATAGTTATATGTGTATGTATATTCTTCAATATCATTAAAACAACATATAAATAAACAGAATTTCTACATTTCTCTGTCTGTTTATTGTCCGTCACCGTACCGGACATTAGATACTATTGAGTCCAAACATTTTTCGCCGGGGTAGTTTAGATACAGTGAGTACGTGTGGTATTATAACCTAAGTCCCATAGACAGGTAATTAAATGTTTTATGTTATAATGTAAACAATGATTGATCTTGATTGTGGTATTTAATCAGTGTTTGTATAATGTTTACATTCTTGAAACTTTCACAGTTTGATAAACGTATAAATAAAGAAATACTATTTAATAATTATTTGAATATTGTATATTGAATATTATAGCAAATTACTATAAAGAATAACCTTCTTTTCATACTTATGTATTTGTGATACTTTGCAATAGCACTTTTATTTATTTACTGTTAATTATCAGGGACTAGATGTACAATTGTCTTTTAATGCATAATGTGATATTTTGTTTAATACATCTGTTTATACATATTATATTGTTAATTGCAGGGTTATATTCTTACCATCTATTAAATATTTCCTGTACACAAGGGTGTCTAGTTTTTGTGATTAGCCAGTGGCCACCCCTGTTACATGTACCTGGATGTCATTTAAGACATGCATTTCCAAATGACTTAAAAAGAAGGAAAAGTTGGATCAACGCCATGGCCCATACGCAGATTGGACGAGAACACGGTGAAATCGTGGAATCCATCTCAATCAGCTGTTAACTGAAAAAGACTACGTGCAGGAAACTATTCATGGTAAAACTCTATTTTCTTTTTAAAATATATAGTTATATATGTAATCGCCATGCGAATAAACCAAAGTCTGTTTACAACCGCAATTATCGTTTTAGAATAAAAGGGGGTGGTTAATTCAAGACGTCATAATTTTTTGGATTAGGATTCAATGTGATCTGTTTGAGATTTTTTGGTGCTTGCTACAATTATAATGATTTCTTACAAGAGGTATATCATACTGAGAAGTATTTTAGCAGTAATTATGCTAATGTAGTAATGACAGGAATGCATAAGCTATGCCTCATAGAATTTCTTGAAAAATATCAATGACAATGTTAACAGGAACAAAACAATGACATGCTCTCATCTATATTATAATTATTTAGGTACAAACAATGTATGTTTGTTGCATACGTCTCTCATTGTTTGTCCTTTGGATTTACATAACATACATTTTGATGTACATTGAATCAGGCTAACATAGTTTTATCCAGATTGTAATGAATAAATCTAGTTAATATTTTGCCAGGTAGTACAAAGTATGCATTGCTAATGGAAGTTCATTTAATTATCAAAACACTAATGTTTTATAACCTTTTTCAGAGCGCAAACCCTCCATACAGAGACTTAAGTCTACTGCCATTCCCAGCCTATTTTCCTGGATCAAGCAAGAGACTGAATCGTCCGCAAAAAGAAAAATCAGGGCAGTTTTTTGTGAAAACAAAAGAACTAAACTTGATGAATATTGTAGTAGAAATCTAGAGGAAAGTTTTGATTGTAAAGTTGGTTTTCCAGAAGAAGTCATTCATACTGCAGACAGGATTTATGACTGTCCACCACCAACTGCCGAGCTAATGTTGAGCTTCACAGATGGAATTACGCAAACACCATCAATGCCTATATTTTCAGCAGAGAATTTTAAAATGAAGACATGTGACACAGCCATGCATTTTTATACCGGTTTAGAGTTGTATACTAAAGTTTTATTTGTTTTGACCACACTTGGTCCAGCAGCAAATTGTTTGAGATACATATATTTTCAAATTGATAGGGTGTCATTTGAAAATCATTTTTTTTATGACTTTGATGAAATTGAGGCATTATACAACCAACTTTGAACTGTCTAGATTCTAGATTGAAACTAGTGTTAAGAATATTGTGTAAACATGGATTGTTTTTATGTCTAAACAGTGGCGTGAGGCTAACACTTGGTCATTTAGTGGTTTAGTCAGGTATTTTTCGCCATCCAACTTCAAATTAAAGTTTCCTACAACTTGGATTATTATTGACAGCACAGAATATCCCGTGATAAAACATAAAGCTCCTAGAGCTCAGACAACCTTTTCATCATATAAAAACAGAAACACTGAAAATACTTGTACAGTTGTATGTTCGACACCTGGTGGTTTAGTCAACTACAAAAATGTATGTCTCTAATGCATATGTTGGTTGTACCAGTGACTGTGAAATAGTTGAAAGATGTAGAATACATGTGTAGTTCAATTATGTGATCCAGGTAACAGTGTGATGGCAGACAAAGGTTTAAATGTGCAAGATTTGTTTGCTCACTTTTTTCAAAAAAAAGAAACAGAATTAGTTCCAAAACTCTTATACGGGATAGAAAAGTCTCCAATTAACACGTGCACATAGAGCTAATTATTAGACTTGGCAAAACATACAAAATTCTAATAAATCCTATGAATGGAACTGAAACAAAACTTTCATCTGAAATAACATTTAGTTGTTTCATGTTGTGTAATTTTAGAACTTGTATTATGCCAAAGGATGCATAAATAAAAGTGACGCAATGAAGTTTGTTCTGATATATATATATATAAATATTATTTACAATTACATGCACATGTAAATTGTAATGCATAAAAAAATAAGGAGATGTGGTATGATATTCAGTGAGTTTATCGAACCAAAGTGCATAAGAAATGGGTTAAGCAGTTACAGGTGTTACTGTCACCGTACAATCTCTAACAATTAGAAAATTGTTTATATCTGTTGATGTAAATATAAAAAAGAAGATGTGGTATGATTGCCAATGAGACAACTCTCCACAAGAGACCAAATGACACAGAAATTAACAGCTATAGGTCACAGTACGTCCTTCAACAATGAACAAAGCACATACCGCACAGTGAGCTATAAAAGGCCCCCGAAATGACAATGTCAAACAATTCAAACAAGAAAACTAACGGCCTAATTTATGTACAAAAAATGAACGAATAACAAATATGCAACACATAAACAAACGACAACCACTGAATTACAGGCTCCTGACTTGGGACAGGCACATACATGTACATACAGAATGTGGCGGGGTTAAACATGTTAGCGGGATCTCAACCCACCCCCTAACCTGGGACAGTGGTGTAACTGTACAATATAAGAACGAACTATAAAAATCAGTTGAAAGAGGCTTAACTCATCAGATGGATAAATACAAATACAAGTGGACGTGGCCGGGTAGTTGTATATCCAAACAACTAAAAGACACTAAGTACAGATCTGAGAGTACTCGCATTTACTGACAGCTAGTTCAAAGCCACTAACAACTGATAAAAAAATCTTGCATCTAAGACTAAATTATCAATCCGTAAGCTCCCTTTAGAATTTTATAAATTTTAGATTTTACATTTCTAAGTTGTGGGGTTTTATTCATTAAAAAAGGGGGGATTTTCCAGTTTTTGGACAACAACTCAAAAATGCTTTAAGCAGTTCGCATGAAACTTTGGTGAATTATTTATAGCTATTGATGTAATCTCCCTATTGATTTTCATAAATTTCAAATATGACATTGAGAAGAAATTGAACTTTATTTGTTTATAGTCTGGCAACAGATTTATTAAGTATTGCGCAACAGCACAGTGTATTGCACAACAGCAAGAAATCTTTAATTGAATATAAATTCAATTCATATAACCGATTTCAAGTTCTTTGACTTCATTTATTCAGAAACTATAATACGTCAAATATTTAATGACAATCCAAATTCAGACCTGTATCAAGCTTGAATATTGTGTCCATTTTTGCCCCAACTGTTCAGGGTTGGACCTCTGCAGGTGTATCCAGCTGCGCTCAGAGTATCAGTTTATTTCTTAATTAAGAACTCTTTTTTGTCGAGCCTGCGACAATTTTGTCGCAGAAAGCTCGACATAGGGATAGTGATCCGGTGGCGGTGTTAGCTAACTTCTTAAAAGCTTTATATTTTAGAAGGTGGAAGGTCTGGATGCTTCATACTTTGTATATGGATGCCTCATGTTACGAAGTTTCCGTCAGTCACATGTCCAATGTCCTTGACCTCATTTTCATGGTTCAGTGACTACTTGAAAAAAAAAGTTAGGATTTGTTGTAATGTTAAATTCTCTCTTATTATAAGTAATAGGATAACTATATTTGGTATGTGCGTACCTTGCAAGGTCCTCATGCCCGTCAGACAGTTTTCACTTGACCTCGACCTCATTTCATGGATCAGTGAACAAATTTAAGTTTTGGTGGTCAAGTCCATATCTCGGATACTATAAGCAATAGGTCTAGTATATTCGGTGTATGGAAGGACTGTCCAACTGGCAGGTGTTATCTGACCTTGACCTCATTTTCATGGTTTAGTGGTTATAGTTAAGTTTTTGTGTTTTGGTCCGTTTTTCTTATACTGTATGCAATAGGTCTACTATATTTGGTGTATGGAATGATTGTAAGGTGTACATGTCTAGCTGGCAGGTGTCATCTGACCTTGACCTCATTTTCATGGTTCAGTGGTCAAAGTTAAGTTTTTGAGTTTTGGTCTTTTTTTCTAATACTATATGCAATAGTTCAACTATATTTGGTGTATGGAAATATTTTATGATCTATTTGTCAGTCACGCAGGATTTTTTTTACCGTGACCTCATTTTCAAGGTTCATTGCTCAGTTTTAAGTTTTTGTGTTTTGGTCTGTTTTTCTTAAACTATAAGCAATAGGTCAACTATATTTGTTGTATGGAAGAATTGTTAGCTGTACATTCCTGCCTAGCATGGTTCATCTGACCTTGACCTCATTTTCTTGGTTCATTGGTCAATGTTTAGTTTACTTGGTTAATGTTAAGTTTATGTGACAGTTGTAATAAAGCTTTATATTTAGGACTATCAACATAATATCAATGATTAGTAAAGAAGGCGAGACATTTCAGCGTGTGCACTCTTGTTTCATTCATAAATTACTTTATACTTGGAAATATAATTTTGCTTGGAGTTATAGTTTCTAAAAAAAGTATTGTCATTGAAAGAGTTGACATGTTGCAATGTACATTTATTCTACATAGTTTTATGGTACCAAATCAAAAGTTTATATAAAAGAAAGAAGTCAAAGTTTTCCCATCATAGTTTAGTTACATACATTTTTTGTACCTGAGGTCGTTGAATATAGATCATTATATAAATAAGGAGATGTGTCATGATTGCCAATGAAACAACTGTCACCCATACATTGTACTTACCAGTAACAAACCACATTTGCAAAGTCGAATAAAATACAGTTGATAACATTTACTTATTACTTAAAAGAAAATGCCAAACTATTTTTAACAGTATTTTACTATAAACATAGATAAAAAAGGTACAAACTGGACATAATGCACTAGTTCATAAACAAATGAGAACAATCGCCTTCATATAGTGCTCAGAATATGACATTCATAAAACTTGTTCAATATCATTAGAGAACTCTTAATCTTAAATACTGAAAGCCACCTCTGATAAGTACAATGTACTATGCAAGATAATGATATAACTGGACTAAAAATACACACAACCTGTAATTAACTGCCTTTAGAGCGCTTTCACCTTTGATTATGAAAGGTACAATTATGTGAAAAATACCAATTATATTTGAGGAGCTAGATTCTTTTTGGCATGAAAGTGGTTGTTACATGTAATTAATCTAATCCAGTAACATAAAAAAAATATTCAATTGAAAACTTTTTTGTAGGAACAGCTTCATTAATTGGGAAAAAGACAGGAAAGGTGGTTGGCTACAGTGCTAGATACAAGAGATGTAGAAAATGTGATGTTGCAAAATTGAAAAAACGGTTACCAACAAAACATAAATGTCGTAAAAATTGGTGTGGCTCAGCAAAATCTATGGAACCAGACATGATTGTTGAAATACATAAAGACGCCAAAAAAAAAGATACCCCAGTAGTTACGCTCATAGGAGATGACGATTGTACAGCATTCAATCGGGCAATATGTGAAGTCGATTCATGTTTGGAAAAAGTCAGTGACATCAATCATGGTAAGAAGAACATATTCATTAGGCTCCACAAAAAAAAAGGCAAATATAAAGAACTCTCAGTCAAAACAATTACTGCTCTCCTAAAAAGCTTTTCTTTCATGTTAGCCCAAAACAAAGGTGACTCAGACAGAATAAAGAACAGTTTACCATCTGTAGTGCTACACCAGTTTGATAAGCATGATGGCTGTGGAGATTGGTGCCAAATGAAAAACAACCCCACAGCCAAGCATAGAAATCTACCATGGGGTGCAGATCTCTCAGATGAAAACATGAAAAAAGATCTTTTAAAGGTGTTTACAGACCTTGACCCGGGAAAGTTGAGCAAACTAGATTCCAGTAATCCTAATGAGAGCTTTAACAACACTGTTCGGTCAAAGGTCCCAAAAGACAAGCACTACAGTGAGAGTGGAAGTTTAGCTCACAGATTGTCTGCTGCTGTTTGTCAAAAAATTTAAGGCGACAAATATGTTGCACAGGTACTAATAATTTATTCATATAAAGTAAAATAAAAACCTTCATCAAATTACTTTTTTTTAAAGATCATATGGCGGTTGTTGTAATTTGACAAGCTTTAATCAGAAGTAAAGTAGGATTATAAATATGTTTGAATATATATATAATGTGGATTCATTATTCTTCATTGGATACCAATTTTCGTTGGTTTCGTGGGTTCAGATGAACCACAAATTCAAATGTTCAACGAATAACATGTTTTCATTAGGCTTTGTATGCAGAGATTGGCAAAACCACGAAATCAAATATCCACAAAAATGCAAGTTTTCAGCAATCCACGAAAATAAAGGAATCACAGTATATGAGTTTATAACAAAAAGAGAGACCGCCAATAATTTGTACAATGAGTACATTGTACTTGAAAAGAAAATGTAGGAACCTGCAAGTGACATATTTTATTGTCTGCAAACATTTTGAAATCACATGTAAAATTATTTATAAACTTAAAAAACTGTAAAACTGGTTCAGGTTAAGTTAAAAGATATACCTTTATCGCATAAAACTCATAGAGGAAAAAAATATATTAAAAAGAATAATGAAAATGTTATTTAAGATGGTAGCTTTGTGAAATGTTATCATACAAAATGTAAGACACAGCTCCCAAGTTCTTGTGTGTGTGTTTTTAGTTCCATGAAGAGCTTGTTCTTAGTCCTGGAATTGCCACAACAGTAACAGCTGCAATAAGAGACAAGGATGTCAACAGGAAAAGGACTGTAGCAAAGACAAAAGAATTTAAGGTTTGATTTAAAAACATTTAAGAATTTTCATTTGGACACAATCTTTATAAATTGAATGACTTTGAAGGAGATTGATTAATTCTAATCATAGTTAAAACAGTTTTTATGCAGCCTTTTGAAATTTCTTATTTTTAAAAAAAGAAATTAAAATCACTTTTTTGTATGAGTTATATCCCTTTGATCATATAGATTGAAAATTTTAAAATAAAAAAAACACCTCTAAATTGATGTTTTTTTTTTAATTTTATATAAAATATTTTCCTATTGTATCATTATAACTATGTGAATAAACATTACATTTGTCATGCTTTAGAATGTGTAAACTTTACTTTTACATGAAACAATGCAAAGGACTGATTATTTCTTATATTTTACAGTTACAACGTTTAAAAGTCAGAGATCTTCAGAAACAAGAAGTCATGAAATCAGGGAAGGGGACACTTACTGCTCAAATGTCATTGGTATGTATAAATTGTTCTTAAGATAGCTAAATGGGTTTACAAATGTACATTAGCCATCTTTTATCTATACGTTTTCAATAAGAATTTTAAAAAACAATTGTTCCTACAACATTTCATTAAAGCACTATATTAAATATATTTCAAAATATTTAATATAAAATTATAGTTATAATAGATTAATTTGATTTACCATTTTTTAACAAAGAAAGATAATTCTTGTTAGAGTTTTTCTGACAAGATGGATTTTTGAGGAATATGATTGAACTTTCATGATAAACAACCTTTTAAGACAGCTTTGACAATGAAAGAACCTGACTAATTTCCATTAATAAAATATCCCTGCTAATATTATTGATCAATTTTTATAATAATGATTGATTGTTACTCTTTTTGGGGTTTGTATTTCACATCTAATAATATGTGATTTTTAAAATATCCAAATATCCAATATATAACAAAATAAGAAATAAGAAAGAAATTTGAAATCAAAATGTATTTTAAAGATTTAACAAAAAGAAAGTGTTTCCATTACTTTTTCATATGACATTGGATTATAACACAAAAACGAAAACAGTGTTATTACATCCCTTCTTTCCAAGTTTATTTATTATATTGAATTTTTCCTGATAAATCTGCTTACAAGATGTAATTTGAGCTCAATTGTATATTTTAGCTGATGCACAAGAACCTAATTTGACAGTTATTCCAGGACCATCAAAGGACAACTGTGAACATATTGAGAAAGTTGTAGTTTTTTATGATTTAGAGACCACAGGACTAAGTATGATATAAATATAAATTGGAAATAGGAAAATATCAAGTTTATTTGTACAAGCTTTAGGAGCAAAAGAATATGCAAGACTTGCCAAACAATTTCACCTATGGCAAAGTATTCACAAAAACTTGATATTTTCTGACAATATTATATACTTATTGACTGGCTATAAGGACAATTGATTGAATGGGAAGGGTTGAGTGGAAACATAGTTAAACTTGCTATTGTCTGAAAAAGCCAGTCAATAAGTGTTTTTTTATACAGAAAACCATGGCATCAGAATGATGTATTATCAGACTATGATGTCACTTTTATCCAAAGAAAAAAGGTTCAGGAAATGGTTAAAAACTATTTGCTGGTTAAGTCTTTTAAACTATTAGGTGAATAGTCTACAGAAAATTTTGTAAAAAAGGTTTATGTGTTCGTTTATAATTCTATTAAAAAAAAACCACACCGAGGTATAACAATGATATTATTTTATTCTGAAAAAAACCCATCTAAGATTTTAAAAAATCTAGACAATCAGGAATTCATTAGTTGCATCAAACAATGTCCTTCCACAATTTTTATCTGCAACTTTTAAGAATGCCTCATCAAGGAAATGTTATAAAACTTGCACAAAATTTTAGTCATAGATGCACATTTATTGGAATATGCATAAAGAAAAATAATCCTGGGCTGAAGAAATTCCAAGGGAGATAATTGAAATAATTTAGTTAATCAAATGTGGGATGTGGGGGGTATCCTTTAGTAAGTTGACTCATAGTCCTATGCAATACTCTCAGACTGCTAAGTACTATCCACACTGGTCGGTGTCCACTATTGTTACTCTTGGTTTTATTATGCAGAAGATATTTGCAATTGAACTTTTAGCATGACAATCAATAAATCTAATTATTTTGATCAGAATATTTAGTTAATTTCTTTTTTTTTTATAGGTAGACAAAGTTCAATTACACAAATTTCTGCAGTTTGTGAGGAACAGGAATTTCACGGATATGCAACTCCTACTCAAGAAATTTCAGAGGATGCATGTAGAGTGACAGGAATTAGGTTTAATACAGCGACAAATGAGCTCCTTTACAATGATGAACCAGTTTCTCATAAACACCCACAGCAAGTTCTTTTATATTTCATACAGTTTTTAATGTCACTTTGTGCCAGTGACAAAAACATTGTGCTTGCTGCTCATAACAATAGGCGATTTGACAGTATCATACTGTTTAATCAGTTAAAATTTTATAAATTATGGATTCATTTTTCTAGATATATTGTTGGATTCTGTGATACTTGTGTTCATTGTTGAATTTATGTTATTTGTTATATTGTTAATATTGAAATTATTAAATACTCAAGCAGTAAGAAGATTGGTTTTTGATTATGTTTATCTGGCCTAAAAACAAAAAAATAGATCAGGAAATGTTAGTCCTGTCTGTAGTAATGAACATTGTTGGAACAATGCATGAAGTCATCACCAAGTCACCTGGTGCAGTAGATATTAAAAAAAAGAAGATGTGGTATGATTACGAATGAAACACAGTCAGCTATAAAAGGCTGCTAGAGTTCACTATATGATCTGCACTCAATGACATTGGAATTGTCCACTGACAGTCTGCTCCATATTGCCTCAAAAAAAAATTAAAACAGTTAAATACAATGGCACAGCAAAATATCAAGATAAATGATATGACAGAAAACAAGACTCGTTAATTCCCAGAGAGGAGTTCGCACGGCCTTAAAAGTGTACCAAGCCTCAGGCAGGCTGGCTGTAAAGACCAGCTTTTAATGATTTAAACAGGATTCTGTATGAGATATCTGTTTTTATAGTTGACCTCACTAGTTTTTTTATACACGTCTATTAAAAGTAGGGGGATTGTAGTGTTTACATCTCTGTGTCAGTCAGTCTATTGGTACAAACTCGGGTTAAACTGCAGGTGGAAGTTATTTTACCACAAAGGATTGTGCTATCATTATGAAACTTTATGAACCTATATGCATCAGAGTATAAATAATATCATTCTGGAATTGAACCCCTCTCATCAACCTTATGGTTCATTGATTATGCAAAAAAGGAATTTCATTACATTTTATTTTTTAAAATATTCAATTTGTGTTTTGAGATATTCCCCATTCAGATTTATAACTAGTATTTTCGTTTGAAAGTCTTTACTAGAAAACTTTTTTTTTCAAATAAAAATATGCAATTCAATTCCTTTTGATATTTTTTATTTGTAAAATAAAAAAAAAATGTTTTGAGATTCTCCCTACTAAAATTTCAAAACCCAATTAACCACTGTTTTTTTTCTTTCATCTTAAATGCATTTCTCTTATGTATTTTAAGTTTGTTTTATTTACATTTCCATATTTCTTTTTAATTATTTTTGATTATGTAATTTTTTATTGTAAAGATCTGATAATAAATTACTCTCCTGAAATTTTGCCCCCCCCCCCCCCACCCCTAATGAAATTTTACCTCTTAAGCATGTTTTTTCGATTAATAATTACAGTTTTGATCATCTGGGATTACAAAGAGCCAACTAATTACATTTTTTAAAATTAATTTTGGATATTTTCAATTAACATTTTTATTTTCATAAGAAGAATGGTAAAATGTGGGTTTTGAGAGCCCCCCTATCAAAATTTTCCTCCGCAACACCCGGTTTTCTGACTTGGAATCGAAAGAGTGATGTTTGATACATGTCATATGTGAAAAACAAAATTAGTTATTGAACAGTTTTTTTTTAAATCACTTTTAGTTCATTTCAGGCTAATTTTTACCATATATCCAATATAATATAAGCCCTATTTTAGCATGTCCCTCCCGTTACTACAATAAAGGTAAGGTATATATTTTTTTAGCTTAATCCATTCATTATACTTTAAAAGGAATTGAGAAAAAAATACAGACATAGTTATTGGTCAGATTTTTCACAATTCTTTTAGATAGGGCCTCGTTAAGGGTGCAATTGGTGCCAATAAGAATATAACAACCTGTCGATAAACGTTATTGCCAAAACGTACATAAATGCTGTCAAATAGAAAAACTATACAATTTGAATTCGCTAGATATTTCAAACGTTTTCCAGATATCTATGATTTCTTGTTTATAATATACATAATGTCCATCAGTAATAAACTATCAATCATAAGACAATCATACCACATCTTCATATTATATATAATTATATCTCACAATATGTAGATATGACTAGCATCAAACGATTTGTAGTTTGCAAAACGTTTAAAGTCTAAATCACTTATAAAACAACAACAACATATTATACATCCTTTATTTTTTTTGCAACGTTAGTTTACCGATATTCAAATCTCATGAGTTCAGTAAGAAGAGAGACACCCAGGTAATAACTTTCAGGGAATCGCATGATCTACAAAAGGTGCATCGACATCTTAAGAGTCTCATGTTCTGTGTTTAAACAAGTCGGAAACTTAATGAATACTACACTATAATCCAACTTACTTGTAAAAATATCGAATGCAGTACATCCATCTTCATCTTTCACGCCTATATCAGCCCCTGCATCTAACAGGTCTATACACACATCATACAGTTTCAATTTTACTGTCCTGGTTAAAACAGGATTTTCCTTTGCTATGATATTTGGATCGGCTCCGTTTGAAAGCATTAATGAAATTAAGGTACAATCACAACGTTTATGGATCAGAAATTCAAGAGGATACTTTCCGGCAGAATTTGGCTGATTCAGTGGTAACCCATTTTCTATAAGTATTCTTAAGGTGTTGGTCTTCTTGAGTCCTAAAAACCAAATCAATAATCTTATCTATCTTAAAATAAATTTGCCTTCTCTATTGATCAGTGATTCGTATTTGCAGCTACATGTAGTAGCAAGTTTCTTTGCATATAGAATAATGAAACTTTTGGAATATCATATTCTTGTTAGAATGTATTCTAAACATTTAAATTATTGTGTATCAATTTGAAGTTAAGTGCAACTAATCTACTAGTCAGACCATGCCTAAGATGTTATATGTTTAATTTCCGTGACAAATCTATATTATTTGACCAATGTAAACATCTTGTTTGAATTGTTTGATATCTGTCAATTTAGGGCATTGTATTGTTTGCTATGCAGCATGGATTTTGTTCATTGTTGAAGGCCGTTGAAAAAAAGATAATACTCTAATCGTAAGTCATATTATACATTTAAATGCAGTCCAAGCATCAAGTTTACTAAACGCACGTTAGAGCCACGTTCACATATTTCATTTGTTTATTTCAATTTTCGCGTTTACCATAATTATGATGACGGGGTCAAAATTTAAATTTGTCATGTCTTCATGTGACCAAAAGTCAAAATTTAACGCAATTACTTTGCTGTACATCGTAAATAACTACATTCGGTCATTTCTTTATTTTGTTCAAGTGAATTTTAATAAAATAATTTAAGTAGAATTCCACAACAAAAAATTCAAAAACACGACGTATAATTCGATTGTCGATCAATTGCAGAATCGTATGTTTCAAATAATTAAATGAATGAATCTCAAAAGCAAATCACTAATTTAACCAATTACTATCCAATTCAAATCACAAAAAATGAGCTGAAAATGTGGTTGGTTGGACAGTTCCGGGATAAATATACATTTGTAACTTATGTACGATTCTTATTTTCAATCAATTAAACTCGTGTCTAAAGATGCATTGTAATCGTTAAAAAATTGAAAACAACACGTTTAATAATTTCATGCGTCTGAAGCGCTTTTCTGGATTTACCTTCATCAGGAACGCTCAAAGCCAAAAATTTGAAATCCGAGGGATGTATAAGTACCGAAACAGTTGAAGAGCTATATGACAAAAATACATAAAACAAAGAGCCAAATTCATCTAAGGTTATTTGCGCGTCAAAAATGGATATTTAGTAGTTGGGGGAGATTTTTGTAGCTGTGATAAGTCAAAGTATCTAGAAAGTGAATGCCGGTATTCTTTTTGTGTGTACTGAAATTTTAAGGTTTTTGTGCAGTGAACATGATGTTTACAAGAATGCAAGTGAGTAAACGCTGCTTAAGCTCCCCCACTTTTTTTTTCCATATTCCTGTAAATGGATTTTTTCAGGCTGTCATACAAGTGGGAGGTTTAGCTACCTATACAACCAGGTTTAATCCACCATTTTATACGTAAGGAAATGCCTGTACCAAGTTAGGAATATGACAGTTGTTACCCCTTCTTTTGGTGTGTTTGAGCTTTTGATTTTGCCATTTGAACTTTCCGTTTTGAATTTTCCTCGGAATTCGCTTTTTTTTTATTTTACTTTCTACTTTCAAAATAAAAGTAATACTAACCATTTCTTAAACAAGATGCAAATGCTGTAGTCTTGTTTTTACCAATATGAGATACATCAGCACCGGCATGAAGTAATACTTCGACAATTTTGTCTAATCTTTCCATTATAGCTAATATTAAAGGAGAATTTTTACCACCTTTAGTAAGGTTCGGATTTGCTCCTTTATTTAGCATTTTTGTGATAATATCTTCCAACACGCTTGTATTGTTAACATTTGTTTTGCTAAATCTACGAACTTCTGAGTACAAATCTGGGTTTCCTTTTATAGCAAGCTCTAGAGGATAGTCTCCTTTTGCGTTGGCTTTATTTAGGTCTGTGTCAGCTGTAATCAGAATTTCCAAGAATTTCCAGTTTGACTCTTTAAAAGACAAAAATACTAATACTGAAAATGTGATCTGATCCATTTTACATGTAGCCAGTAAAACGTCTAAGGCATGAAATAAGAAAATCGCAGTTAGGTGCTAGTCGAATATTTTTTCCAATCAAAATTGGAAGAAGGCGTTATTACTTTTTTTAAACTAAAGAACCAGCTTTGTTTTACTTCTACTAAACGTTTTGAAATGTTATTTCATTAGATAAAGTTTTGGGTGTCCAAAGGGTAAAATTAAATTTAGATATCTCATGAAATATAATCCGAGTTGAATATATGTTTAAACTTGGTATTATATTATCTTTTGGCAGGAACATTTCCAACTCAGAATTCCAGGTTTGGTCCCTTGACATTTGTATATGAAAACCGTATTCCTTAACGTACATGTACTAGGGTGGGTTGATAAAAGCTGGATGTTTCAATACTAGCATTTGATATTGTTCACAAAGTCTGTACAGAAAATTAAACCCTTTATTTTGGTCTTACTTAATCAAACTATTTACTGTAACATCTAAAATGTTCTTTTGTTTTATCACAAGAAGGAAATGAAGACTAACACGGATGTAAATCCAAACCTCCCGATTACTTTTTTATATTGTCCCAATTCACGCAGAAAATATGAAGTATTTTGAACACTCCAGAGGCTTAAGCTTGTTAATCCTCTATGCATGACATACATGCTTTGTCCTAGAAAAGAGGCTTCGAAAATTATTTGTTTAAAATGGAAAAAATATTATTTGGATTGCCTATCGGAAAACTCATAATTCAAATCAAATCAATAAATTGAACTTATGCATCTACATTATTCATGAAAGAAAACAATTTGTTAAAATCACATATCCGTCATTAAATTTCAAATATTTTACTTTGAGCGTTTGTAATGAAAGTAAATTCAGAAAACCACTTTAACACTACCAATTTATATTTATATATTTTTTTCATTTCCATTCCCTCTTTTGGTACGTAAAAACACCCAGAAGGACGATGAAAGTCTTTATTTTTGAAATATTATAACTGAAAAAACATACATAAAAAAAGAAAGAAATTCGTTCAGATTTAAAACTAACTTGACTCTAATATTTATTCATCTAAACCTCGCGGCTACCAACTTGTACTGTATGAGTGTCTTTTATGTATATATAAAGGTACAACCACTGTGTGTCCCTTGAACCGATGTGGATCATACATATAAAAATAAGATGTTGTAGTCAATGAAACAATTATCCATAAGAGACCAAATGTCACAAAAATTAACATTAATATAGTTCAATGTACGGTGCACATATATATATATATATATATGTTGGACTCTGAACCGCGATGGTACTCCGAACCGCGATGGTTACGCTGAGGTGCGATGGTTTGACGCTGAAGTACGTTTTTGATTACGCTGAAGTGCGATGGTGGCATTGTGACGCTATCTTGTTGTGCGATGGTGATAACGCCGATGTCCGATGGTCTACACAAACTACATTTTCAAAACTTTTCGATGTATATATCAATTTGTATGTTAGAAGCAGTTTTCCGGGGTTTTAAGTTTATAAGGGGCTCGTAAACTTTAAAAACTATATACGAGAAACTGCGAAGATTGATGAATAGGGGAAAGTTAACCTTCTGTAGCAAACTTTTTTTTAGAAATCTACAAACGGTTCCTTTTTACGTACGATGGGGCGTGACATTCTCTTACTACATACGGGTTCGCATACAGACACTCAGTATAATAATATTACGGTAATCCAGGAACTCATGAGAGGAACCAGTAAAGATAAAATGTTAATGCAGAATTATGTTCACATGCAGAAAATCAAAGAGGACGATCTCTCATTTAGAAAGCAACTGTTATTTAGGACAGTCCAAAATGAATGTAAATTCATATACATGTACTAGCTATTAAAACATATACATGTACTTCTCATAACAATTGCACATCTGTAGATTTTAAACTAGACATCATGCATCAAATAGACCATCGCACATCAGCGAACGTACCATCGCACTTCGGCGTAGACCATCGCTCTTCGGCGTGACCATCGCACTTCAGCGTCCCCATCGCACCTCCGAGTCCTACATATATATATATAGTGCAAGGCGATTTGGTGCCACGATATCTCAGTAGCATGAGTTCGAATCCCGGCGAGGGAAGAACAAAAAATTTGCGAAGGCAAATTTACAGATCTAACATTGTTGGACTGATGTTTAGACTAATTATATACAGAATGTTTTGTCAGCCATGTATCACCATCACTGCTGGTGATCCGATGGATAAAATCTGTTGTAGAGTCGTCACTGGTGTAGGAGATGCGTTGAAAGCGCTAACAGAAACAATGTTCGATTTATAATGTGATTTTTTGTGTGTTTTGTTTATAAACTATATACATAAAAGATGTGGTATGATTGCCAATTAGACAACTCTCCACAAGAGACCAAATGACGCAGAAATTAACAATTATAAGTCACCGTACGGCCTTCAACAATGAGTAAAGCACATACTGCATAGTCAGCTATAAAAGGTCCCGAAATTACAAATGTAAAACAATTCAAACGAGAAAACTAACGGTACAAAAACAAAATGAACGAATAACAAATAATTAAAACAGCAACGAACGACAACCACTGAATAACAGGCTCCTCACTTTGGACAGGCACACAAGTTAAAGATGTTAGCGGGATCCCACCTTCCCCTCACCTGGAACAGTGATGTCACACCAAAAGAACGAACTATAAAAATCAGTGAAAAGTCTTAACTCATCAGATGGATAAAAATAGAAATACATCTAATAAAATGTGGACGTGGCCGGGTACTTGTACATCCCAACAACAAAAAGAGACTAAGTACAGATCGGAGAGTACTCACAGTTACTGATAGCTGGTTCAAAGCCAAAAACAACCAATTAAAAAAAACACGCATCTTAGACTACAGATCTATGTTCGTTTATATAAATATACATCTCAATTGCAACTCATTGGTAGCCGAGATGTTTCGTCGATGTTTTGATGTCAGTTACACATAACACACTACAAATAGGGATTCGATGCCCAGTAAAGGCATATAAAAGTTATAAAAGTTCATGGTGATTTTAAATTCATTGCATGAATGCACAGAAATCTTTGTTGTAATCTCTGTATTTAAGGCATCAATGAGATACTTGGCTTTCTTGGTGAAGTTGACATCAATCAGAATACCACCTGAAACTGGACTCTGTGTCCACAAATCAAGCGCTATAATTTCAGTATATTCTGATTCGGTATCTTGTATTGTTGAATCCTTCATTGTATTTTCGGTTACCTGATGCCCGAATCCAAACTCTGTATACAAGTAGTCTGATCAAATGCATCTTCGCTAGCTAAGGGTTACGATCCACTCCCTTCCTCTCCACCCTTGGCGGATCAAGAGAGAATCTCGGATCCACGAGATAATGATTTTCATTGGTTGCAGTCGGAACTGGCTGCATCTAATCAAAAACGCCTTTAATATGATCACGTGTAAATGTAGACAATGTTGGTAAACAATTGTCACGGGCTGATTGAGCAACAAGTGTTTACCACCAAAACATACGACGATATTTAGTGACAATTTAAATGTTCTTAATCAACTAATAGAAGTTCCTGTGTATGTTTCTTGCACAAATGTTGGAATGTCAACGTATTTTCGTTTCCTGTTTTATCAAATTTGTTAACTCTAGACGCAACCATGTTTTCAGCTCCACAATAAAGAGAGTTTGAGTGCTACCATTGGTCAAGAATTCGGAATGGGCGTGATTTTCATCATACGATAGATGGCGCAACATTGTTATCACAAATATTGGCTTAATCTGCCAAGGGTGGAGAGGAGAGGGAGTGGATAGTAACCCTTGGCTAGCGAAGATGGATAAAAAAAGTAATGGTATAATCTTCCAATACTGAATTATCTTTCCTTGAACTATCAGATTCGTCGTCGGTAACGCATCAGACTCATCCAATATTACGGCAACCAATTCATGCGATTGCTTATCGCATATTTCATTTCCTTTTTCTGCATTCAATTAGCAAGCTTTCATACCTATACTACCGCTCAAATCAATAACATATGCAAATGATATAGAAAGTACCGTAACATCTGCTCCTGTATCAACTATAGCATCGACCTTATTGCCATTGACTTGAGTTGGAATGAGTAAACCTTGTCCTCTGCCAATTTTATAAACAGTTCTCCTTTCACGATTAGCGCCAGTGTGTAGTCTTCTTATAGAGCTGGGGGATCGTGATCTTTTTGAACAATCACGTTTGAAATGGCTCTTATCGCCACAAAAATAACATCCCGTTGACTGTGTTGTCGGGGTAGCTGGTTTTGAATCTTTCAGCATAGCCCTTTCTAAAAGATCTCTTAGTGCTTTGATTTCATTCTGTAAACTTTGATTATCTGGTTTCCGAAATGAAGTAAACAATTGTCTTACGGTTTCCATCGTTTCATATTGGTCATTACTGTTTTCATCTTCGTCATTCTCATCTTTCCATGTAACGCGTCTGGACCTTTGTTTTGTACTAAAATCAACATTTCTTCCCAACGTAGCATGATACTTGTGTTGTAGTTGTTAAACAATATCTAGTGCAGAAGATACAGTCTTAGGTTGACTATTTAAATCTTCGTATGGTATCTTGGGGTTCTTATGGCCCTTCAGAAAGTGTTCCGCTGCTAGTTCATCTTGTAACTCGATATTACTTGTTGGGTATGCTCTTGAAACTAAAAGACTTACTTCTTTAGCAAACTCTTCATTTTTTTCATTGTGTTGTCTAATATCAGTTAGTTTTTTCGTGCAGTGGTTGAGGGTTCTATTCGGTTGATCCTGTTTTCCATGTGATGCGACAGGAATTCAAATGTATTTCTTTCCTGTCGTTGAATTACTGTCATGAATTTACTCGCCTGTCCTCGCAGGCATTTAATGTACCTATCTAACTTTTTCTCTTCTGTCCTTTCGTTTCTCCTAGCTGACCTGTTGTAAGGGATAATG